CATTATTGCATTTCTGAACCAGACGTTTTTGTTCGCATACATTACATATATGCCGATACCTTTCTATCTGTGATAAGATAATATTGACCAAAAATATCAGGCGAGCGATTTATCGCTTGGGATCTACTTCCTGAATTTCCCTGAGTGGCCTAAGACTTCTGCCCTTTATCGTTTTTTCGTTTCTGTACATTTTGAAAGTTTGGAATTAAAAGCTGAAAACGTTTTGGTTTATACCCGTGTGTTGTTCTGTTTCCAGTTTTTGTTTTTCCTTGAAATGTTTGTCTTTTAAATGTTTTTTGACACTTTCCCTCTCTGTCTCTCTGTCTTGTCGTGGACCAGTAGGAACCTTCAGAAACAAGCAGAGTATGAGCTCTCCTTTATTGTGCTCACTCGAATCATTGAGCGCCACTTCCTTGTTCAATTCATAGACTACCTGTGCAACATTTGCACACAGTATTTATTGACCATAAGGACATCACATACAGTACATCTCTCTCATGTGGCTGCATAACTGAACATTTCATCAAAGAATATTTTCAATATCAAAATCTTTGTGGGAAAGCCACACCATCAGTAGGCACATGAACCCTAAACTCACTCATCCATTCATCCATTCAGTCACTTAAATCTCTTCATGTGAATCTTTTATGGTTTCCCTGTTTGCTAATTTTCATCTTGCTGTTTCTTCCAACAGAAGGCGTAGTGTCCCAGAGCCAGGAGTCCTGTGGGTTGGACAGTGTGTGTCTCAATGGAGGCTACACCCCCAACACCTTCACCCTGCACGGTCTGGGAACCACACCCGGGTCCCGAGCTGGAGTGGTGGGCAGCACTGACCTTCTGCGGGAGGGAGGAGTTGGTATCGGAGGTGATGACATCTCCCCAGCCCTCCTCACCCCCCACGGGGCCACAGATCTGGGCGGCGGTGCTGGAATGCGTTGTAACCTGTCTGATGCAGCGGCGCTGGAAAAGATGATCATCTCGGAGCTGGTGCAGAGCAACCTCAGGCCCTCAGTTGCCATGCCTGTTCCTCCCGAGCGCTACGGAAGCCTGGCGCGGCCTCAGCACCTCGACAGGGCAGCCCTCCCACACACTGCCACTTTGACTCGACACGCGCAGCCGCCCCAAGAGGGGTGGGCTGCCACCATGCAGCCAAACGCACGCCACAATGCACAAGAGGCCTGGGCGCACACGCGGCACCACACACAAGACGCTGAGACACATTCCACAACACGTGGACAAGATCTCGCCACGGCGCCACGCTTACAAGACGGCTGGTCACACTCACGGGTTTCTGGAGACTCCGAGTCCCGTGAGCTGCTTAAAGACGGGGACAGGTCGTTGCAAGGCACTCTGAGTCGCCGCGGGCTCCAGGACAGGCAGCAGGCGCGCCCCCCTGATGTTCAGGCACGGCCCTATTCCACCCTCAGCCGCACACCGGGCACCCTGTCACGTCACCGCGGCACAGTCGAGCCGAGCGCAGGAACCGACAGAGACCGAGAGAGGGACAGGGAGAGAGACAGGGAGCGTTACCGGGACAGGCCCCTCCCGCCTCCTCCTCCCCCTCCCCCACAGGAGTCTGAGTCCCTGTACAAGGCTCTGGAAGAGCCCCTGCTGATGAAACAGAGGGATGCAGGTGTAGAGGCATGGAGAAGCGGCCAAGACAGAGAGAAGGACGAGACATTTCTCTTGAAAAGAGAGGAAATGATGGACGAATGGAGAGGAGGAAACGACGAGTCTTTTACCTCTCAGACAAGAGATGAAGAAATGGACGAATGGAGAGCTGGAATGGAGAGAGGGAGGGAGGAATCTCATCTGCTGGAGAAGAGAAGTGGAAGGATGGAGGTGTGGCGGGGGGAGACAGACCAGGAAGAGACTTTTATAACACAGAAGAACGATTTTGCGGTTGACGGATGGAGAGGTGGGATGGACAGAGAGAAAGACGAATCCTTGTTTTTAAAGGACAGAGATGGATGGAGAGCAGGGATCGAGCGAGAGAATGAGAAGCAGAAGGACAGAGCGCTGGATGTGTGGAGAGGAGGGATGGATATAGACAGGGACGAATCTTACCTGTTCGAGAGCAAAGACGGCGGTCTCGACGGGAGGAAAAGAGGGAAAGATAGAGGGTCTCTTCGTTATCACGGCGAACGAGAGGATTCTGACAGCTTTGCTCTGCCTTTGACCCCTGACCTTGACCTAGACCCTGACTCCTCACCTATCTATGCCCGGGATTTGAACCCCTCCCCGCTCTACCCCGGAGACCGACGCTCGCCTCCGCTCAGCATCTTCCCCCGAAGCTCTCCCCCGACGAACATCTTCGCTCCTCGAGAAACTAACTCGCCTCCGAGCAATCTCTACTCGCGCCACTCCCCCCAGGTGTACAGCCGAAGCAGCTCCCCTCCTCGCTTCTACACCCGCACCTCCCCTCCGACCCTCTCGTACCCGGACAGCAGCCCTGAAGGTCCAGAAGACATCAGCAGCCCCATTGGCCAGCCCCAGCGGCCCGCCCTGGAGCTGCCCTACAGCCTGGGGCGACCCCCGCTCGGCCCGCGGCCCAGTCACCTGCAGACCTTCTACCAGCCGCCGCCGCTGGCGTCCAACGGAGACGCAGTGTACACGGCAGAGCCCACCTCGGAGGGAGACGACGGACAGATGCAGCGGGTGACGAGCCTGTGACTAGGGCGGTGGTGATCGGGGCATAGAAACCAGGGATGAGGAGGAAGACGGTGGTTATCACAAATAGCGAAGATCAAGCTGATGGATGGATGACTATTATGATGACAAAGAGGATAACGATGATGGATGATGAAGGTAATGATGATGACAGTGATGGCTCCTCCCTGCTTCTATCTCCCGATCACCACGAGACTTCCCCCTTTTCATGTTTTGTTACTTTTCTATGACTGTGATCCATTTATAACTCTTTCTCCTCCACTTCCTCTCTTTACCCTCTCTTTCCTGAAACCCTTCTGTGTCTTCCCGTCTCATTGGTGCTTATCCTTATTGGCCCATCGTCTTAAGTTTCTATTGGTTTGTCGGCTGGGTGTTGCCCTTCCCTGTAGCAAGCAAACAGTGTGTCAAAGAAGCACTTGTGTGTTGCCAAAAAATCCTTTCAAAGAACATGTGCATGACTTTATAGTGGCTTTACCAGGCTACATACCGTAGGAGGAAAGTGCTGAAGTGTGTGTGCGTGTGTGTGTGGGCGTGTGCGAATAGCTTGATGAGCATGCGTGTGTGTAAGGATGTGTGTGTGAGTGTGAGTGCGTGTATATACATCATTCTTGTATAATTAATGTATCACAGTGAAGCATTTTATCAATATCAACAGGGGGGCCTCTTACACATCCCCTCCTACTGATTTTGAACTCTTGACCAATCCCATTTCACATCAAGACGACACCGCCCCCCCCAACCACCCCTCCCTCCACCTGCCACAAACTGTTGGTGATGGAACTCCTTGCCATAGAGCCTGTCATAGCAACAGAACTATTGACTCCGGAGCCAGAGATCATACGAAACCTCAGAACTTTTCTGCGACCCCCCCCTGAGATCCTTGTAAATAATCGACCTCAAGTGTTCTGATTGTCTTGTATTGCTATTGAAGTTCAAGTAAACATGTGAAATAAACGATCCCGTCTTTCTCTTTGTGTGGATGTACAGAGAGAGAGCGGGGGTTGGGGAACGAGAGACGTGGATGGATATAAGAGAAAGTCTGATTGAGACAGAAACAAACAAAGCTGTGGTTTAATGTAACTAAGTACATTCACTCAAATAATCACTACATGGACGTTACTTGAGTACTTCTACTCAACACTATCTGACAGCTACAGTTACTAGTTACTATGTAGATAAAGATTCTATATACTAAACATATGATGACTTTAATATGAAGCATTGTTGCAGATTAAAACAACCCATCAGTATATAAAGTGTCTTAATTTGGCACCGACTCATCCGGCTACAATTGAAATGTTTGTAATGCATCAGTACTAATAATCCAATAACATTGTCTATAATAATGGGACTCTGACATGGGCCATTGGGCTGCTCAATGAGCACTTTTACTTTTGATACTCAATAAATAAATTTGATGAACAATACTGTTATTTGAATGCAGGACACAATATCTCTAAAATGGTGGTGTTGCTTGATCTGAGTACTTCTTCCACCAATGCTGGCGGAGAAAAGGGATATTTCATTTTAGATGACTTGACAGTAAGAGTTTTAAACAAACAACTATGTGTGATGTTAAAGGGACAAACCCAAAGTTGATTATCAGCCAACTCTGTGGTCTCCTTCAGCGTCTTTAAGGCAAATGTTTTGGTTTTACAGCCCACAAACAAACTACTGTTTTGGTTCAGTCAAACTGCTTTCATCAACTTATCTAAACTTAACATCTAGCTTGTCAACCTAGTGGAGCATCTTTCAGCTAAAGAGCCTAATACTTTTCTCAGGTGGATGGTGGAGACTGTACTTCTACACCAGTATGATAATGCTGTATTTCTTTAAACCATTCACCATCGTCATCCTCGTCTTGGATGGTGCTAAGCCCAGGATGCAGCGACGGTACCACGGCAAAATAGACATTGCATGATATCGATAATAGAAGGGGAGGAGATGAAATCATTAGCAGTCTTATACCCACAGTATACTGTACATCCGGGTGTCAGACTAAGCCAAGCCGAAGCTCCGGCGGGAGGAGGACAGCTAAGCGCCTAGCAACAGTCTCTTCCTGCGACCAGGAGCAGAGCTTCGCGTCACTGCTCTGCACGTCCCCGCTGGGAGCCAACACCGACACCGTACAGCTGGGCCCCCTGGAGGGAAGGGAGGCACGGGAGAACCAGAGCCAGGACTGAGCAGAAAAGACTGTCAGACCCTGCTGCAGTCAAGTGTTCTAAACGGACTTTGGCGCTCGGAAACACTACCACCTTTTGTCCACAAGGACCGCCACTATCAACACAAAATGCAAGTTCCTGTTAGTAGCTTTAAAGAGACAATGATTATTTAAAAAAATCACATTTTTATTTAATTATCTGTGTGCTCTTGGAGTGGTAAGTAGTCTAGCATCATACTGTCTGAGAGTTAAAGCGTCCGGACTGTTTCAAACATGATTATATCTGTTGTGTAGACATCCTCCCAGTCATTCTCTCATTATTGAACTATGTATACAACACACTGAATGCAAACAGAAGGACACACACATCCTACCACATCTAAATGATGCAACACATTCGGAAAATGAGTTGCTTTCTCGCCATTTGTGCTTTTCTTCAACACCATTACATTCACTGGGTTTATGTAAAAAAAATTAAAACAAACAGTTACAGTACAACTTATATCACGTTTGTATAAAATATTTTACATCCTACGTAGCAAATTATTACAAAGTGTTAATTGATAATACTAAGATGGAAATCAAAAAGTGCTTTTACAGTATCATTACAAAATCTGTATATATATATATATATTTACAGGTAACGTATAGAGCGGCAGTGGTTGCTGTTGTCTCATCTCACAGGTAGCCTGAGTATCACATGTGAAGCTACGGTCAGTCACATGGACAAAAGGAAAGGCTCCAGCCCAGCAAGCAAGCATTGTTTTCAGCACCCTCCCTCGTCCTTTCTCCCAGTTGACACGGTTTGTCTTTTTGAGCCACATACAGTATCTCACAAGCTCTACTCTCCCTCTCTCTCTCTCACACACACTCTGTCCATATGAGGTATGTGGTTTAACTTCACAGGAAATGGTCTGACATTCTTCAAATTTCTCGTCTGTCCAAGGTGAACTACGGGCAGCAGGTGGATGTTGGAACACGGAGGGGTTGGTGGAGGTGAGGTTTAGCAGACAGTGTGGTGCGGCGACAAGGGTCTGTCCAGGGTCTCAGTTGGAGACAGATCTGAACTCGAGCTTTTAAACATGGACGAGATGTGGAAGGCCTGGGAAACACACAAACGCACACGACAAACCTTAAGGTTTTAACAGACGTTGGCATGCGGACGTGCACAAACTCAAGCAGGCGAGGTTATACTGACCACCCAGTAAGCAGTGAGGGCTCCCTGTATGTAGCCTGTGAGCACGTCGGACGGGTGGTGCCTGTAGTCTGAGATGCGGGTCAGACCCGTGTAGACCGCCAGCAGAACCAAGAAAAACTGCAGAGCCGGCCTCAGCAGCCGAGCCCCACGCCAGGTCAACCGCGCCTGAAGGTAAAACTACATGGCAAAAATGAACATGATGTCATTTAGTGCACAGAACAATAAGGGTGACATCTGTTATTGTAAATAATGACACAAGATTCTGCAGTTAACACTATCCATGAGTGGGTTCTTTTAGCATTTATGGAAACTCTGTCCTAAGTACAATTTAATATAGATCCCCACAAAGAACAGCTGTTTTCTGTTTTCTGTGAGGAGTGTTTTGTGCTTCTTTTTTTGTACTTGTGTTTGTTTAAAAATCATATTTTGAGTTTCCTGTGCTTGCTCTGTGTTTTACGTGTTCCGTTAGCGCTGCCCAGCATGTCTTCCCTCGTACACCTGTTTAGTGTCTAGCCTCGTCAACTTTGTGATGCCAGTCCTCGCTGTCTTGTTACCAGTGTTTCCCTCCTTATTGCTGTTCCCTGCCGACTCCAGCTGTGCCGTGTCTTGTGAAAAGCTCCTTTTGTATTTATACCTGTCTGCTCTTCTTTGACAGTTTGTTTAACGCCACTTCCAGCGTTGAAGCCACATTGGTGCTCCTTGTGTTCTGCCTGTCTTTGTTTCAAAGTGTTTCTACTTTTGTTTTTACCTTGTTGGAAAATACGTAGTTTATTGTCTAGTTTGTGTGTCTTGCACTTGGGTCCACCTGCCTGCTTCAAACGTGTCAGTCGACACGTTTTGTGCCAATGTTAACTCAACATGTTTATTACCGTGTTAGGATTATATTTATCCTTTCAGACTTATGCCATACGCACCACTCTGTGCTCTATGAATGTGTTAATTTGTAAATATAGGATGGATGGATGGACACAGTACTTTGTGATAACTTGATTGAATACAATACAAGGACTAACAACTTGATTGTAGGTTAAGGCCTGTCTCCAAGACAGAGCCCCAAGACAGAGTATGGTAGTAATGTTGGTAACGAGTGTTTACGAGTGTAAGTGTTTTGCACACTGCTTTTGCACATTGCTGAGCGTCTCACATTTTAGCAGGCGCGCCCTTAACTCCTCGAGTTGAAGCAGTTTTTTTTTACATTGTGGGGACTTTTGCTGGATACCCGGAGCTATGGAGGCCTGGAGGCAAATTACTGCGATACCGGTAAGTTGTCTTTATTAATTTAAACTGTAATATTAATTACCAGGCAGCGTGCAGTTCATGGTCTGAGTTAAGAAAATGTTAGCACTCATTCGGTGGTTGCCAAGCAACAATTTTTTAAATGGAGCAACTGCACAAAAAACACTGTCTGACAAGACCTTAAAGCCCTGATGATTTGGGTTTAGTAGGTTTGTTTTTGGAGATCATATGATATTACCAAATGTGCACTTATTTAAACTGTCACAAACACACACAGTGAACCCCTGAGGGTCTTAGTTGGTGATCCAGCGGTGGCATTAAATCTCTCTTTATGAGATAAATACTGTCAACCACAGATTTATTGCAGTTGGTCCGAATACTGAACCGAATTCAGTGCATTTGATCTAAAGTTATGGTGATCATGGTCTTGTTGGTGCATTGGATATGCCTTGTTTTTCATCTTCCCTTTTTACCATTTTTAACAAGCAAGCCAAGACTGCCCACACACACACACACACACACACACACACACACACCCAAGATGGCACACACATTAATATTCTGATGCGCACATGTACATCAGAATTGCTCAGGGACACACATAGGCTGCCATAAACACATATAAATGAAGGCGCCTGCACACACACACACACTCACACAATAGAGGAGAGCAGTGAGGCGGTGAGGCGAGGTCACACTCCTCCCACAGCAGAACAAAGCTGTCTCTGTTTGTCCCATTTCTCCTTTTAGTCCCTCTCTTTCTCCCTCTCCTCTTTCATTCCCTCGCTTTCTGCTGCTAACTGGACGGATGACGGCTCCCTGTTTCATTCATTCTCTCTGCAGTTTATAGAGAGATGGTAATTGGAAATTGGAGAGACAGTAAATTTTGTTTGCCAGGGTTTGTGTGTGTGTGTGTGTGTGGGAGAAAATGTGTGATAGATAGATATATAATACTCACTGCTAAATAGAGCATTGTGTACATCGCAAAGGAAGCGTGACCAGAGAAGAAGGACTTCCTAAAAATATGGAGAAGTATTGAGAATAACACAGAACGGAAGCATAATATAAAAAATGTTGTACATTAACACACACGCACACACACCTGGCCTCCTCCTCCAACCGGTGGTCGGGCTGGCGGCAGGTCACTGTTGCGACGTATGTTCCAGGTGTGCAGTTCAGCGATGCATAGGTGACGTCGCACACAGACAGGAAGTGCGGTCGCAGCCGCCCGACACTCAGCTTGGCCATGTTGGTCAGTGATTGGCCGACACAGCAGCCAAACAGGAAGCAGCCCAGCTCCTTGTACAGACAGGACACATACAGGTTCCTCACAAAGGCCTTGGAGCTGACGCCTCTGAAACGAACTCGGTAACACTCCCCGAGGGCGATCTGGAGGTGGACACGTAGTCAGAACTGTCATGTTACATTCTCATCCTTACATCATGTAAAATGAATAACGGACGGACTGGCACAACAGGGGTGATCATTGTGATGAGTACTCACAGTGAGGCCGGTGATGATGATGCCACCCGTGATGAGTAATTCATCCGGTATGGCCTCTCGATGCCGATAGGGATAGGTGATGCTGGGGTCCCCGCACATGAAGCCCCTCCTGTATGGACTCACTGCCTTCAGCTCACATGCAAAGAAAGGGATGGAAGCTGCACAGGAAGAGAAGGAGGAGAAGAGAGACTATTTGATAGCCCAACGATCCCCAGTGGGAGTATAGACATTCCTCTTTGTGATGGGAAAGTGGAGCTGATGAGTGGGAGGAGCAAAAGAGGAGCAAAACTGCAATTTAAAAAGAACCTTAAACATTCATGTCTTTCCAGCTCTTAGTCGTGTGGAATTCTGTGTTATCGATACATGCGTGCAGACGAGGGCAGGCTGTCATTTGAAATTGATTCTTGAGGTTCGTGGTTCTGTACACCAAAACCAAAACGATAATCAAGTTAACTGAATTGACTTAAACTAATGCCAAGCCCCTCAACCTCAGCTTTACTTTGTATCTAATGCGAACTAGGAAATGTTAGCATGCCAACACGCTGAACTGAGATGTGACAATAGATAATTACCTGCTAACATTAGCATGTTAACACTGTCATTATCAGCAATGTTAGCTTATAGCTCAAAGCAGTGCTATGACAAAGTACAGCTCCACATAGCTGAAAACAACTCCTTAAAATCGCAATGTTGACTCTAACACAAGCAACAATTTAAGGACTTTGCAGAAATTAAATATAGCCTAAAACCAACAAAAGCAAAACATGTGTTTTTTGTATGCCAACTTTCACAATGTGACCGTTTTTTATACTTTTTGTATCAGCACACCAAAAGCATTGATGTAGGATACCGAGCACCGGTTCACACATGACGCTCCAGAAAGGAGGTAACAGAAATTCATAATGAAACTGAGAATATGAGATGAGGAGACTGGGAAGAGATCCAAAGAAGAATAGTTTTACAGGAAAATATGGGTGGGAACCATGACTCTTTTTTTTCTGAAAACAATGCTTTGAATTGTGTGTGGGTGTGTGTGTGTGTGTGTGTGTGTGTGTGTGTGTGTGTGTGTGTGTCTCTCTGTGTGTGTGTGTGTGTATTTCTGTTGATGAGAAGAGAAAGGGGGTTGTTTGTGACAGTTCTCTTCCCTACAAAACAAAGAGCAAATACTGCAGCAGACCAGAGCCAGAACCAGCCTCACACTGTCTCCGTTTGTCTCTTGAGTGTCCCCCCCCCCCCCCCCCTCTATCTCTTTCTCTGTCTCTGTCTTGCATGCCTGCACACATACAGTAGAGAACGAGAGAGACAGACAGAGAAAGACAGAGTCTCCCTCCCTTCTTAACTTGTCAAATCTGTTGTTAATCCAGACTACCTCTCCGTCCAGTTTTTTCCAATTAGCCAACATTATATAACCTCCTCAAGTCATATATAGGGACCATGAGAGGGAGCAACAATTACACTCACACACACACACAGTGGATCGTGCATGTATTTATTTATACCAAATACAATTCCCCCTGGTCCGGCTCTACCCTGAGAACTGGAGGTTGTCATGGAAACTGTAGAATTCCCTGGGCAATGCACAAAGCAGCTGGCACGGAGCGCTCGAGAGCGCGCACAAGCGGAAAAGAGAGCCAGGGATACGTCTAGATAGATGGAGACAGAACTTGAAAAACTTTCTTTCCTTCGTTCTTTCTACGTATAAACTTGGTGTTCATTTGCTGCTCATACTGTGAAGGCCCACAGGCCTGATCGTCGTGCCTGAGTGTAGTCACTGACTGTCTTTGTTGACTAAATAGAAAGGGACGGAACCAAAGCGGAACAGAACTCAGCGTGGTGGAAGTTCACCTTCACCGGAGATACTCTACGTAGGAATGAATGCCATTTTTAAGGGAGTTCAACTGTAGTTTCAAAGTTAAAAATGATACTGTATGAACAAATATGCAGCCAATGATTACTTTAATTGTTGGTTAATAAAAATGTAAGCAAATGGTGGAAAACGCCCATGATGATCAAATCAGATGCTTGTTTTTTCTGACACAACACAACACAAGAATAAAGACTTTCACATTTAGTTTCATGAGACAACAGAGCAGCAAATCCTCGCAATTGAGAAGCTGGAGCCGGAGAGTACAGAACATATAAAATGTACACTGATTAATTATATCCACTAATTGAGTATTCAGCTATTTGTTTCAGTTTTTAAAATTCATAAATGGGTAAAAACACTAGTGCTCGGCTGTTGACCTGCTCAGTTGATATATTAGTGGACAAAATAACAGAAACACCTCGCTGCAATCCAATGCAAACAACAACCTCTACACCACACGGCATTAATGACCACAGAGTTGTATCAGCACCTCACACCAAATGATTATTAACTTTTGTTACATTGTTTAGTTGGGATGAATTGTATTGATGATTCGGTGATATTGACTTCACTTCTGGTCCACTTCAACAAAGGTTACAAGTGAAATAATGATATTTACCCAGGCAGAGGCAGAGGAGGTCTAAACCGACCAGAAGTTTTCTTTTGGATAAAGCCGGACCAGTTATGTCTATGAGTTTATTCCCTGTGCCGTTCTCCATCCCCATCCCTGCTGCGGCCAGGCTGCCCTTGCTGTCCGTCAGTTTGAGCTGGAGGTCCGCGCTGGAGACGACCACACCGGCGCACTGCACCCCAAATGTATCCAACATGACGATTGGCTGCGGGTGGAAGCTCGGAGTAAAGAACTTGTTGGCATCAGAAACTTGGGAGCGCCCTTGAACTGCTCATGTGCAGAGCTGCGGAGAGACTGGAAGTAAGTGGGTCCACAGGTTGACACAGTATGGTGCTCCCCACGCCACGTGCCGCGTGGATGTCAAAATAAAGTGTCTTTTTTACGCATTTAAAATTTCATCACAGAGTCTGCAGGGCTCGCCCTGACTCGTTGCAGGGCACCCGTCACCTTGAAGATATGCACCACGGAGCGGAAAACCCCAGGCTGGTTGTGCAACAGGCAGACTCACTCTCTCCATCCTTCTCTCTCTTCCTCTCTATTTGTGCCCATTAGGTAATTAAGGGTGTGACAATCATTTCCACTAATTTAAATGAGAGGAAGAGAATCAAACGCATCAGTCGCAGTGACGATAGTTGACCCACATGCAACAATCTGGGAGATATTTCTCCATCATTCACCTTTCACCTTCATTTTATTGGCTACATTCACAAAATCCCGAGTTGACCTTGGAACAACTAAAGTAAAACTAAACTATTTAATCGTCACTCAAGGATTAGACAGTAGCCTGGTAATCCTATTTCTATAGCCCACTGTTTTGATTAAGTTTCCTCATGGCTGTAAATCTTAGGGACCATTTTAATTTCCTTCCTTGATATCTTTAAATAAGCGTCATGGCACATATCCAACAATCTATTGTCGCTTCCTTTAACTTAAAGGTAGAACTTCAAAAAGATGACTTCCACTTGGAGTCTGAGGGAGGTTGAACCTTTTTATAGGACGACCTTTATAAAGGATTCACTTTGTAACAGACATTAATATTTGATAAATACGTTTAGTAATGCTTTATAGATCAGTTACAAGCCAATGTTCAGCCAGTGTTTATCATATATATTTGGTAATCAAGCAGTGTAAAAAAATGTGGGTAATCTATTGATAAATGCAAAAAGCAGAGGACATGAAACAGAGCAGTCCTGTTCTGTTTTAATGTGTGTGTATGGTGTTGCCATCTACTGACCTCGCTGAAGTATTGCTAAAATGAACTTTGGGTGAGGGTCAACATGTTGTCAACAATGGATAATGTCCTATGGGAGGAAGATAATTAAGAATCAATATACCCAAACTCACTGATATTACGACCCTGTCCCATATTCGTTTCTTTGGGAGGGGAGTGATTGATTGGGAGTAACAGATATCAAAATAATTTTAGTTTTTTTTAGGCCTACAGGTTTCCATTTTTTGTTTTGTCTCTGTACATAGAGGAAAATAGAAAGAGAGAAAGAGAGACACAGAGAGAGAGAGAGAGAGAGAGAGAGAGAGAGAAAGAGAGAGAGATAGAGAGAGAGAGAGTTAGACAGAGAGAGAGAGAAAGAGATAGAGAGAGCCACATAGAGTGAGAGAGAGACAGAGAGACACAGAGAGCGTGAGAGAGAGAGAGTGGGAGTATGAGAGAGTACTTCTACTTTTCTAATTGTGAAGTGAAAACAGTGACAGTGACTTCCCCGTGAAAAAAGTCCAGCAAATCACGATGGTGGTTTTTATGTTTGTCTAAAAAGCCCATACGTAATCCTGGCCGCAGAATATCCAATGATGGATATGAAAACTGTGTGTTCATGCGTGTGTGTTTGTGTGTCTGTTTATTGATTTATAATTGTAGCAATTGGTTTTCCTTTATGAGTTTATGGCCTAGTTTCAAATCTTCTTCAATACAGCATAATGTTCATTTTGCAAATTATGGTAGACGATAAAGCAGGGTATGCTATAGGGCGGGGCTACCTTGTGATTGACAGGTTACTATCACTACCAGAGCCATGTATATGCCGTGTCGACGCCGCTCCGCCGCACTCTTAATATGGTCCTTCACTGGTTTCAAAAAACCAAGATGGCGACGACCCAAATGCTGAACTCCAGGCAAAACATCGGCCTCCTGAACAAAGGTCCTGCTTTATTTGACCCAGCTTCCTCCTCCGCTGCCCGACCTGTGTGATTATCTTGCTCTTCAAACTACGTCAGTTACTCTGCCCTTAATGCCATGGGTGGTTGCGCTCCATGCACACATTACATGTGTGTTGTTGTCAGACGTAGAGGAGCACTGACCAAGCTTGTTACGGAGTGGATTGGATCACTTCCTCTTATGACAGGTGGAAAAGCAGAGAGTCCTTCCACTACTCTGGATTTCTTTTACCATCAGGTTGATGATTGCATCAGCAGATTTATGGCCCCACCAGACGTGTAAAAACACGCTCACAAACACACGGATCATCCCAGCACTATATTTAGCAACATAACATGAAATTATGTCATGACAAAAAATGAAGCTGCTGGTTTCGGCCAAGATTTAGCTTTGTTAAGCAAATCTGGAAACATTTGAGGAATTTATCTTGTGCCTGGTGGTGTGCTTATGTTCTAACCACATGTGGTTAGTTTCATTAGGGAACAGAAGGCAAGGGTTTTTGCCCTGCTGGAGCATCTGACCTTTTACGCACATTATGTCATACTTGTAATGCTAAATGCTACATTTCTCATTTTGTCTGTTTCAGGCTGACTTCCACATATCCGTCTGTCACTCCCCCACAGAAATATACCCCACAATATTTCCCACTGTCTCTTCTCACTTGTCATTCCCCGTGGTGTTGTAATTACTGAAGCAGTTTTTCTGCAATGTGCACATCATAAGGTTATAGATTTAGATTTATTATTTAGATTTTATGGGGAAACTAAGCGTGGTGGAGGAAGTCAAATGAATGTCTCAGAAACAATGTCTCAGTGGGCTTTACAGACCTGCAACATCAAGGCTTCCAGACCCGATCCAAGCTCTCTATGATGATGACAGAAAACTCGTGAAAAAAAACCAGCAAGGGAGGAGAAAGCATGAACCGTTCCGCAGAAGAGGAAATTTAAAGAGCGATTATCCCCTTCCCAACTGTAGGTGGGAAAGTTAGATAACATGTTCAGAAAGTTCAAACAGAGCATGAACATGGAATATATATAACAGCTTGGAGGATGTTCAGTTTGATGGAGAGTGTCAGGGCAGGGAGCCTGGTAGAGTTGGATCAGGCTAATGTACTGTACTTCTAATTCTATACAATATCAGCTGCAGTACCTCCAAGTACTGAATTACAGTACATGAGTAAATCTACTTTCCATCTCTTTCCATTGATCGAAAGAATAAATACAATAACTAACTTTTTTAGCAGATTCCGATATACATTCCGATATATTATAATATAGCAAGAACAAAAAGAACATATTCAGGAAATATATTACACACGAAAACAATTTTCACATTATATTATTTCACATTATTGTAGCAGGGATTTTTTTACATTAAAGTCAGTGTGGATGGATGGCTGTGATTTATTGCAGTAATTATCTGAAACGAATTGAACAAAAAACGCAACGACGTAGACTTTAGGAGTAATATGAAAAATGTATGTACAGACAAAATTATATAATATATAATATTGACCGTTTAAGAAAAACAATATTTTCCCAGAGGGATTTAGGTGCCATGTTAAAGTGGAACTTTTTCAAATTTCAAACATGTTATATCCCATTGTCCAAAAATATTAGTACACATGAACGACTCCCTCCCAAATCTAAAAACTAGAGTGTTAAAATTCAAATGTGTGATGTCATCAGGTATAAAGTGTGTAACTGCTCCATCGACAATGAAGAGTGAAAGATGTATTGGATGACACAGAGAACCCAGGGGGATGTTCTGAGTATATGAATACGTTTTCTGTTGCACAACTGAGAACATTATAATAGAATAAAAATCTTTTTTGTCTAAAAAAATTAAAGAAAACATCCATTCTGTGGGTCAAAACAATCAGTCTCCCATTCATTGTATAATATGGAGCAGCTCCACACTTTATACTTGACAACATCATAAGTTTGAGACTTATGCTGAAATTCATTGTACTACTATACTCTCTTTGCTAATGGCGCTGTGGTTCATGACGTAGGTCCTCTGTAGATGCTTGTGAAGCTCAGAGACTTACAAAGATCAGTTTGCTGCAGGAGTCCATTATTTCCCGAGCAGATGCACGGGGACGCATTTAGGTTGGAAGTCGGGAATACCGACTTGGAGGTATTTACTTCCGACTTGCGATGGATTGCAGCACTATTTCTCTGGTTTCCGGCTTTGAGAGAGAGGAGCTCATGTTCACAGATATCAATTAAACTCTCCGAGGCCATGGACATAACATATTGGAATTCTTCATTTAGGTGGTGTTCCCCTTTAAAAACAGCCAGTAACATGTTATTTACTTGCCCGGGACTTTTGGAACTTCAAACCTGATCAAACCACAGATGTGAATAATGCAACCTCAGCGCGTTGCTTAAGGATTTCCCGCTTTACAGCAGTGTTGCAGCACTGGTTCCTGAAATACAATTACTGTGACGTCTCCTTTTGTTTCTCAACCTTATGTGACATTGCACTTCTCTTCACATTTGAATTCAGTCCACATGTACAGACTGAGCTCAAATGTACAATATAGCATTCATGTGCTGTTTTTTTGAATTTCGATAGAAAACCAATAGACTTTTTTCATTTATAATTTATTTGCATATAGTCTGATGAATAGTGTCAGCTTTGCCTTATGTTTATGTTTCCCAGCAGCACATCTCACAGTCTAAACATATATCTCTACATATATATATATATATGTCTCTCTTAAATGAACCGTGCACTATGCTGTTTCGTAACAACCACAAACATTCCCCTGACATTTCTCTCTTTGCAAACTGCGGATCTGATCAGCTGACCGTTGTTTTGATCTGCATGGAGCATTTGAGTGTGATTACCACAAATCCCATAAACCTACCATAAAATTACCATAAACTCTCCTGTAGGCGATCGGGGCTGAATGGATCATGATGACATGAAGCCCTCACCAGTAAATACACTGAGACGCACTGGTGACCAGTTAGTGACATACTGCATCTTACAGTAAAATTAGCAAAGTATTGTTTGTGTTTTAGCTCTGCTCACCTGGAAGATTACGTACCAGGCTCATGACGTATAAATAAATCTTACCAATGGTCTCTCTCGTCTGCACTGACGCAAACACTGACAACTAAGACAAAGACTTAGTGACTTCTGCTTTGAGCTAAATGCTAATGTCATCTCAACATTCTCACAATGACAAGCATACTAAATAAACACTTTTCTTCTACCATACTGTTTTTAGTTATGCCTACAAAAACCATATTGTTGGAAAGCTTATTTTCTGGTTGATGATTTTTGTTGGTAGCATGGAGACCAAAGCTTGTTGGCACCCCCTGGGACGGTTGGGACAGTTACCGGGGCGTGGCTGGGACACCTGTCAATACAAAAGAGGCCCAACCAACCCCGCTCTCCTTTACCTCTGGAGATGTTTGTTTTTTCTGGGGACAATTTAATATACAGAAACATAAACAATAAACTATTTCTCATAGAGGCTGATTTAAACTGAAGAGACTCACATCTTGGGCTACTTTTAAGCTATCAGTTGGAAGTATTTTGTAATTTTCACTGATCATTATTTGCCAATATTTGCTTCTTGAAAAAAGTGAAAGTGTTAATCTGCTGCTAGAATAGGCTCCACTCTTTTGTGAAGGCTTTCCACATGATTTTAGAACCAGTCTGGGATTTGATGATGGCTGATAGAACCTGGCGTTACAATGTACATGGGCAGTATACGTTTAAGGGCCTCACTCTTGCCACGAACCTGGAGGCATATACTACTGCATGTACATCATTGTATAATAGCTTTAAGAATGTCCTTGATTGGAACTAAGGGACCTTCATGTAAAACAGAATAACCCCTGAACAAAAGTATGGACAAGGTCATATAACTTATACTTTAAAATGTCCCAGGGCAACTTTCAGGAGTTGCAGTAATAGTTGCAGTAACAAATTACACCACAAAAAAATTCACAGGAGCAGTTTCCAGAAATTGCTGCAAATTAATTAAAATGACAGGTGTCAAATATTGTCTAATGTGTTAGTGTGATGTTGTTGTATGTATGTTATTAATGAAAAAACACCATCTCACTCTTGAGCACCTTTTCTGTCTCCCCCCTCTCCCTCACACACACACACACACACACACATCTATTCTCTTCGAGACTTTCTAAGATTGCTATCTGATTGTCTTTTTTTATTTTTTGGGATAGGCTACATGCCACTCTCTCTCTCTCTCTTTCTCCCTCTCTCTCTTTCTCTCCTTCTCTTCCTCACACACGCACACACTTAATACAGTGGGGGATTCCCGTATGTTTTTGCTCAACTGCATAATTCGCAATCTCATTTGCTATCAGCTGGCACGTGATTGTGCCTGAATAGTGCCTGGTATATAAACCTTGGTGAGTGACGATGAGAGCTTTATTTGGCCTGATGATGAAATACATCTCTTGACAAATGCCCCACGCTATACCATTACATCTCACACACACGCGCACACTGCCGTTTCTGTTCTACATTAAATTGTCAAAAAGAGAGGCTGCTTTTCCAATAATGCAGCCAAATCAAATAAGGTTTTAATTATCTCCGTTGTGCAACTTTTGCCAGCCGTATGAGGTTTATAGTGGAGTGAGAACTGTGTCGGAATGTAGCCTATTGAAACTGGAGGATGCGCATTTTCTCTCCCTTTCGTTTTCCACGCGCGCGCTGCCTTTGGGGCGCACTTGCGCAATCTGAGGGAGAGCCGTGGAAAGTCTGCGCGGCTCGTTTTCTCACCTTACGTGAAGCGAAGGAGGGGGCGTGTGTGAGACTTTCGAGAGGGAAATCCATGACTTCCGTGTTTTTCCTCCGTGTCTGAAACGCTGTGCTAAGTACAGTGGCCTATAAAAAGCCACCATGGTGCTCACAGACGTGACATTCACATTTAGACGCGAACTGGGCTGTGTGACAACAAGAGGACTATCTTTGAGGAGGTAAACAGCCGATCACCTGGAGTTGCACAACTTCAAACTAAAGCCTTTTATTCGCTGCATGAAAGATCTGGACGGCTTGGACAGTCTCCCTGAAGCTCAGGCATCGTACTGCTGATTGATGGGACACCAAGATAAAGAAATGGACGTAGAGTCTCACCAGAAGAGCGGCCGCCGTGGATGCTGCCTGGACGTTTTTCTCGTCGTGTCAATCATTTTTCTGTTTGTGGCGGTGACAGCCGGGGCCGCCGGAGGAGTGATGGTTGTGATGGAGCTGCGGTCCAAACTGGAGTCCCTGCGTCCGTCTTTTGTGTTGGAGACGTCAAAGCTGTCAGGAGACGCAACTGACCCCACAAACAAGGTAAACAAATGACTCATATTATTCACATTTTGAACAATTACCTGTTTATTCCCTCCTTTATAAAGTTTGACCCATGTCCTCGGCACATTTTAATCCACATATATTTTATTTTTTTCAACAGATGCAGAACGTTGTCTATCTGGAAGCCAAGTCAAGTAAGTCTACTTTTATTTACTAAAAGCACCCATGTCACATAATTGTTAAGGGACAGATTCTCAGAATTATGAAAAATAAAAAAATAAGTAAGTAATAAGTAAGCAGATGATAATAATGTCTCCCTTTAAGGCCATAATGTAGATTAGTTCTCTCCAAAGACAGAGTGACATTTACAAACATTAAGATGTACAAATCACCCATTTGTATCACTACAGTTACATTAATGAGGTTTCATAAGGTTTTGAGCTGCGCCAAATCATTTCAGACTTAAGGCAAGACAACACTGGAAAGGAATACAACTATCAAGCATGTTCTTGAGCTTTGTAAACATCATCTAAATGAGATGTGTTTGTCTCCTCCTGTAGGCGAGTTGAAGTCCTCCACCATGCAATTGGCTCCTGTCAAGTTCGGTGCTGAGAGTTCTGTGGGAAGCAACTTCGTGTTTGACGCAGACCAGCATTCGCTGAAGTCCAAACGGGCGGGGAGCTACTTCATGTACGTTAGTCTGAACCTCACATGCACCTTTACGTGCAATGCGGGCCTCCTCAGCGTGCGCGTGGGCGATAAGCTCACCTGCGAGATGCAGCTTCCGGAAGTGGCAGATTCAACACTTGTGAGCAGAAAGTGCTGGACAGTGAGCCAGCTGGAGGGGCAGACACTGGTCGCTGAGATGACTGTACCGAAGGAGGGACTGGAGAACTGGAAACTGGAGCTGAGCAGCTCAGGATTTGGGATGTTCCTTGTGGACTAATGTGCACACATGCAATGCAGCTGTCAGGAAGATGCAGATGTGCCCGTTGACCTTCGGGGTCGTGACTTAAGAACGACACCAGTTTGTGTTTTCTTAAAGTCCAAGTAGGTGAAAAAGGACAGGCGCCGATGCCTTATTCTAAGCTATGACCACATTTCTTGCGAACTGAGACGATGAAGCTTGGCAGGACTTTTTCAGGTGGAATCTGAAGAGAAATTGCATTTATGATAATGCAAACAGCATGTGGAAAAGACTAGACACTCACCTTATTCTGTATAAATGTGCATACAGTATGTTACTCTGTATATGATATATTTATTTGATAATATGGAACTATTTATATACATATATATATATATATTTATGGACATTTATTTTGATGTATATCACTACATTAATGTTGATGTGCAATACACAGCCTACATTGAATGAAATGTGATTTATAGCTCTTTTTCATTTTATAAATGGCTTAGGGCATAAAGTAGAGGCTTGCAAAAATGTGTGATTATGATTCTGCTCCTTAGGGGCCTCATTTACATATTGTGTAGTAAAGGTAAAGTCATTCAAACACTTCTGGCAAATGATGAGTATCAATAATCAGTAACGCTCTGCACTTAAAAAACTTTTACAGAAACAAAGTCCCGTAAAAATGATCCTTCTGTAATTGTGACTAAGATATCTGTAATATGTGGACACGTCAATTGATAAAAAAAAGTTTTGTTTTTCAAAGATATGTAAGTCCTATGGACAAACTACACATTGTTGAATGTATTTTATCGTAATCCATATTAAACATGAATACGGTGAATGCTGAGTCCGTTTTGGTGTGAACAGTAGAAAATGACGAGTGTGAAAGTGATTGTGAAAAAGTTTCAAGTGGAATATTTGAAAAGTGTATATGTAAGGGAAAGTTCCCTGCTGTTACGCAGCGCATATACCGGGAACTGCATCGGCATCACTTCCTGTTTATTTACCAAACAGTGTGGGTTAGAAAAAAACCTCTTATGTGGGCCAGCAAACAAACATGATTACACCTCTTGTGTGATACAAACCCAAGTGAAAACCAAATGTACCTGCTTTAAGAGATACAAGATACGGCTTTCATTTTGTCAGAGCACACATGAAGCAGAAGGTTCAAATATCTAAGAAGAAATGATGAATGCAATTTGAAGAATTATAGCTGCATGAGATCATTACTTCTAAAGCGTGCCTGTGTGTGTACAGAGGGATTTTTAAAACGTCTGCTCATTCTCCTCCAAACTAAGAAACTAATCAACTAAGTACAATTCATTGATTATGCTCAAAGCTACACATCGGTGGCTCAAGTTGTAGTTGCCATTAGTTAAAGTGGCTATAATCAATATCCTTATATTAACAATGCCATGTATGTATTAAATGACAACGTGAAGGGGTTGTTTGTAGGGATGAACCTGCAGAGAATCATCACTCAAATCTGCCGCTCCTTGTTGCCCTGGTTCACTCTAACCACTCTCACAGCATCATATTTGGCTGTTTTCACTGAAAAAGCTCTCTAAGCCCAGTATACACTACCTGCTCAACACCAAACAGCAAACAGACAGTGACTAGCTGATAGACATGAATAAAGTTATTGTTATTACTGTGGGGCATTTAGCAGCTAAAAGACACATTTTTACTTCCTGTGATGGTAGAGACCAAAACAGAGATAAAAGAGAGGGAATGTTTTTACTTACATTCATCATATGGACGTGACATCAAAATAAATGATAATGTTGCTCTGTATAACATCTGGATATGTAAATAAGCAATTATTTGCTAACAAGTTTTCCGTATCAAATGAAAAGGTGTTGATATGTCTGTTTTGTTCACATCTTGTTTCCACACGTGGCCGAAAACAGTTATTGCAGGTTTAAAGGTTCACTGTGGATTTTCCCCCATCTAGTAGTGCTATGGAGAAGCCGTTTTATATATATACATATATATATGTATATGTACGTATACGTGGGTCCCTGTTTTGTTTGCATCGTGCACAAACATGCACACAGGTGACGAGATTCAAAATCAACAATGGTTTCCCACCATTTAAATTATCTACAAGTGGTGGTTATGCACCAAGAAACACGCATTTAATATGCAAAGCGTTCATGCTCAAGCTGCAAGAGTATCATCTTGTTGTGTTTTTGTTTCACACAGATACACAGATGTGTATCCTCGTCTCAGAGCAGGAAATGACCCAAATATCCCAGCAGCTTCTGAGGTCAGTCTCTCCACTCACATTCAATTGGTTACCTGTCTGTCTACCTGTCTATACGGTTTCCTGTGTCTCCACGCTACTCTCATGTGCTCGGTGCACTTTGCTTTCTGCGTTTCCTTTTCCACCCAAATTCCCTGACAGAATTCCCTCGTTGGTTGCCAAACTCTCCTTTACTTAATTTCTCTATACCTCCATATGTCCTTTTTTTAAACATTTGACACCATGCTGCAGTGTATGCAAAACGTTCCTCTGTAGTGTGAGAAGAGCTGAGTCAGCCACACCAACCTCAGCAACTCTTCCCCTCCATCCTCTCCTCAGTGCATCCTTACACAACCACATCCTGCTCTTCTCACACACATACACAAACACAGTGAGAGAGGTGTTGGTGTATGCTATGCAACCATGTTATGTGGTTAGTCTCATTGTGCTGAAGCTATCAAAACTGCTTCAAAAAGAGTCCTCTGTTTGTTTTGCACTGTTTATCACCTGGGCAGCAAAGAAATCTGTTCCGTATCGACAACAGAATATTTGTTTAAAGCGTGTTTCTCTTGATACCTGTTCAAGCTATGACCTTATCAGGAGCTCAAGCCACCTCACACTTGTTTGATAAGAAACCGTATTTTATTCACACAAAATATGCAACATTGTAGGATTATATAATCTGAATATCAGATACTTTTTTATGACATCACAACCATTTGTCGCTTTTTTATAAAGGATTCAAGTCCATTAACTGAGTACGGTATAATTTAGATTATATATATTGAATTACATAACACAGAGTGGTATAGAATCTGATCACAATGTGGGAGGGAGGCATTATTGCAGAATATTGGCTGGAGATATCATGAAGGCCCCCATGAAATTGTCAGGAAGTCCTGGGTGAATCTTGGTAATATTTTCCAATGTGACATAAATTTTATCTCCACTCTGCAGGAGAAAGATCCCAGCCAGAAAACTGTTCCACAGATCCTCCCCGCCTGAAGCCTTGGAGCGAGTCTGGGTGTAGCAGCGGTTACTGGAGGAAAAATGCCCGAGATGTCAGAAAGCAAACTCACCACAACATAATGAAGACGGCATTGATTTCAGCTTGCCGTTAAATACACAGATGACCAAGTTGCATACAGGCTGCACCCGAGTAAGCAGTTGTAAGCACATGTGCTCCGACAGAGGAAGGAAGAAAGGAGTGGTGAAACTGACGAACCTTTTTGATCTCATAAGCACTATAGGAAAGTTGTTGTAGGCACTGGTGTCTTTCATGACCTTGTGCTGGATAACCGAACACTCCTCTGCAGCATTTAATGTCAATTTGGAGTAGAGGTAGTAGTAGCCCTCCTTCTCCACCGACAACCGGCCATGGCCGTTGTAGACCATGCTGTGGGTGACGACATCTACCCACACCACCACTTTGTTCTCCACTATTGTATTGGTGGAGCCTGGGATTAAGATGAGATAGAAGAGAGAAAAGCGTTGTTGTGAACAAAGAGAATAAGGGGGAATGGTTCGGGTGAATCATTGGGCTTATACTCAGTATTCTGGTTTGAGTGGTGAGACGGCTCTAACCTGTCAGATGAGCAAAGGGCTTCTGTTGGACCTGATCCAGATGTGGTGGCACTGTGGGAATCTCATTGGACTCTGTTCAAGAAAGCAGGGTAAGACCAACCAATCAATCAATGTAAAATCTTCACATGAATTCACGTGACAGGTTTATTAGCAAGTTCTGAAAAAAATGACTTTTCGCTGATTGATTCCGACGTCATATGTTTGTGGCTCATCATAATCAATCATGAAAACAGACAGTAACTCAATACCTTTAGGTCCCACTTGTCTCATTATGGCGCCACCCTGAAACGGGAAAAAAAGCCATCACACATCTATTCGGCAGAGCAACAGTGTAACACCTGACTCATACGCCCACACGTACCTGCTGGCCAGATGTTTGGGGATGGGACAGGTTCTGGCAGAGAGGATGATACTTACAGAGGGAAAATTCCTGCAGGGAGAGGAAGTTAAAAGAGAGCATGAGACTTACAGAATGAACACATGTGAGTAATAAAATATGTGCGTGTTTGAAAGCAAGATGTCAAAAGGTCAGCGACACTAAGAACAGGAAGTTTCCTGTCTCGGGGAAACCAATAAAAAAGCACACAAAAAGGAATGGCATATCGTCATTTGACGCACAAAAACATTGAGGCCCCTATTTTAAGAAAAACAACAGAAAATGCATTTTAAATTTTGTTTTTTTAATCAGAGTTATTTTGTGGTTTCACTTGACCACTGATTTTTGTTGTTGTTATTTAATTTGGTCATTTACAGTCATGCTGTAATAAAGGTATTTGAATGCCTCAGCCTTCATGTGATATAAACTAAATAACGTAGCAAAATGTTACATGCCAACGTTATGTCTCGAATATGAGCTACTGAGAAATACAGTGGCTGGTAAAGCGGTGAGAGTCATTCTTGGACATTGCACAGGTTTTTGTATTTAAATAACATGCATAGTTTACAACATAATAGAAACACGTATGTAAGGAACATTATGAAACTGTCTTAGAAAAGTGAAGTTAAACTGTGGGTTTGCCCTTGAGAGAGAAAAGAAAGGGAAGTAGATCTAGAGAAAGAGTCCATTTAACACGTTTGTCATTATAGACCTTTCACGAAAAGAGCAAATGACGACCCACCGACAAAGCGCTCAGCTGTCCGCTGTAGTGTGTGTGTGTGTGTGTGTCTGGTTATGACGTAGGGGAAAATAGGGACATTTTCCAAACACAGATGCTTCTCCTGTCACTCACACATTCACACACACACATACACAATCACATGCAGGCGTCAGCCTCACCTCCGTTTTTTTGTATAGTCTGTAGATGAAACATCCCTCGACAACAACTCCCAACAGTGTGAGTCCCACCAGCAGCAGAAGGAACTTTTGGCTCACTCTCGGCCATCTCGAACCCTTCCCGCTGGGCTGGGAGATGTAGCTCGCTTGTCTGTCCACCACGAACACCTGGGGGCATGTGCCCACACCGCCCTCTGCCATCACACCAGATTACACTCCAACTAGGATGTTAGGTGCTAAAGGTGAAAGGGGGAAAAGACAGGGGTAGGTAAAGCAAAGAAACTGGGAACAGAGAGGCAGAGAGACGATAAAAAAAAAAAAAAAAAGACACAAACAGACCAAGAGGGAGGCATGAGACATGCAACGAATGCGATGCAACCAGCCTCTGGGAAACAAGGTGAATTCTTCATACCCTTACTACTGCAAGCACACGAGAAGCATGTAACAACACCGACAATAAATCAAAAAGACATTTCCTATTCCTATACTTTGTTTAGGCAGTTCAGTAAGATATTACCTGGATTTAAATGTGCACTATAGATGTTTCTACACAGCTCAGTCAACCATTCAGCAGCACAGGGCGGTTTTCACACGCACCTCTGAAACTCCCTGGGGATATAAAATGCCAGAAAAGTTCTTAAAATACATGTTAAAATTAAAATAACATTACAAACATTCTCTTATATATCACTGTGTATCATGAGTTCTCCAGATGTCTCACCCTGAGAAGAAGAAATTCCTCTGTCTGCTTCGCCAGTACTGATCTCCCTCACCTCTTGTCTTTGCTCGCCTGCTGTCAACTATCACTATTCATGCTTTTGAAGCAAGTAAGAGGAAATGAAGATGACGGAAAGAGGGAGAGAGAGAGAGAGAGAGAGAGCGTGAGTAGTGTGCATGTGAGTGTGCGCAGGACACTCCCCACCAATATAGTTATCGTTCCTAAGCTGACACTTCCTTTTCTCACTTTTCAGTTTCTTCCTGGCTGTGTGTCATGTTCTGTTCAACACTTTTGGTTCATTTGTCTGTCGCCAATTTCTGTTTGTCAGCTGTGTGATGTCTTTGAAACAGCAGAGTTGGATGTGGAGGATGAGTTGAGTGGGGTCAAGTTGTTAAATTCTCACCCGTATACTTTTGACCGCTGCCCACGGCTGCTACCACGGCCTTTGCACTATGTCACCCACACAGTCTTATTAATTTGCACTTTACTGCAGCAGAGAATTTTACAAAGCCTCTTCTCACACTGTCAGGCTTTCTCACATATATTCATAGGACTTTGAGCAACATGTGTTAATATTTGGGGTAAGTCGTGGCTCTCTCTCCTTCCTGCTGATCAACCTGCAGTGATTGAAGATGACTAATGTGTTGCAGAGGTTTAGAGGCTGTGAAGCAAACGGCCAAGTTCAAGACCTCATTAGGCAACACTTTCTTTTCCATTACGATCACTGAATTGTTCAAAAGTTGCTTCACTTTTTATTCTTCCTTTTTCCCCTCATATGTTTTGTCATGGGTCATTTATCAATACTTGGTTTCTGTTTTGAGGTACAACGTGCTTTTTCCTGCTTTGTCCATTTGCGACATCCCTTCTTCCTCACAGCTGACCAGAAGTGCAGACATGTCTGGAATCTGTGTATCGAATATTTTTCTTTCTCTTTTGTTCTCCCTCTTATTCTTTATTATTCACATACCTCAGATCCAAGTATTCTGATAAATACTTTCATGTCCCTCTCTTTATCTTTTTCATATGTGCTGCATGCTGCATGTTTACTTCTATTTCTCCGCTGTGTAACAAAGAGCCAATAAAGTCTTATGACTTATGAAAAGAGATGATTCAGGCTTTGTTGCATGAGAAACTCAAGCAGTTTGTTTTTTTTGTTGTAGGAGGGGGCAGTTTGGCATGACAGACTCATGTTGAAACTACACTGCATACTCTTTGACTCACTTTCTACCCACACACTACACAGACATACACACGCGCGCACATGCACACTGTGTTCAGTGGAGATAAACACTCTGGGAGGACAGACGGAAGTCTACTGTCAGGATCCCTGTCAGACCAGACACCTCCCATGGCCACACAGCTGCAGCTACTTCAGCTAATCACCTCCTGCAGGCTGACACACCAGACTCAGGTCCCACTAACGATTCCCCTGGCACTATATAAACTCTGGTCCTGCAGTCTGTGGTGGTCAGGTCGTACCGTCTTTCACCCGCTTCAACCCCGTTGCATCTTCGGCCTCGAGCGCCTGCCTCCGGTGTCCGTCGGTCCGGGAATCCCCCGTGCCCTGCTTTATATTTACGGACTACACACCGCCGCTCTGCCCTCCGTTGTGTTAACGAACTACACACGCCGTCAAGCTGCCAGCCCTCCGGTGTCGAGCCACGGGACTCACACCGTCGATCTGCCTACTCTCTGGTGTCGGACCACGGGCTCCACACCTTCCTGTCATCTTTATTCAGGCTAAATAAAACCTGTTTATACCAACTTCTGTCTCCTGTGGTCTTGCTATTGGGTCCTAACCGTGAACTCCCGTGACATCTACAGACGTGGTTGGCGGCTGTGGTTGTTGCTTGTTAAATGCAGTTATTGAGAGACAGAGATGGACCTGGACATGTGTGGAACCCCAGAAGTACCTTTGTGGAACTGATCACAAAATTATACATTAACTAATGAAGAGGAGATTTATGGAAAATTAAAAAAACAAATCTAATTTCTGTTAGGCTACTTTTTATTTTTTCATCTCCTCACTTTTCTAGCACTTGTTGAATAATTATCTGTTTCCTGTTTCTGCCTAACAACGTTTCCTGAAACATTTTTCTCTCTGTTGCACATTCAGTAATCTGCTGTTTTCTGTGGCATTGCTGCTGCCTGGTCTGAATCTGCAGCGATGGGGCTGCTTGAGCCCCATGGGGAGGAGGACGTGCACCTCAGGAGCAGCACAGGTGTAACTAACAACATTAATGATAGATTAATTACATTTAAGGGTCCCAGAAAACCTTTAAAGTGAACCAGCAGGCACAATACCAGGGCTTTGGATCACCTAAATGATATGAAGCTATTACTAATGTCACACCTATTGTCTAGGTGTCTATTTCTATAATTTGCTAGGTAAACACCCTATTTGCTTGGTGCACTACGCTCACCCCCTGATAGTGTTTCATAGGGGCCTCAACAATTCCAACAATCAATCACAAAGTGTTTGCGTCGCATTCAAAAGATGACAAAATGACTGTCTGACCGGCCAATGATGACACACAATAAAATCATAATCATACTATTAATAATTACACATCACAGTAAATTCATAGGGGTAAATAAAATAAATAATTATGGCTGAACTCCAATTAGCTGCTTCGCTGTCATGGCTTACTTCCTACAAAGATAAGTCAGATTGTGTTTTGTGAAAAAGGCCTGGTGAGTGTCTTTTAATAAGGTTATCGCAAATGACTGAACAAGGGTAGAGATTTAGGACTCAGCTAGGAAAAAAATAATAGGGAACCCCAGTAATAAGAGTCTCTTTGACTTCTTATTTGCACTAACTATACAGATGATACATGCAGGTTAACCCAACTGACCACAGCAACTGTCATAGCTGCATTGTGTCACAAATGGAGGTAATGCATCGTCTTGTTCAGTAGCTCGACACATCTTTCAGCACGAGTCTACTGATTACATACACATAAGTCACTGATCATCACATCAATCAAAGTATCCACAGAGTTGTGATGTAAAGATGTGCTAAAACATTATTCAGAAATTGTACAAACATTCATTTTCTGACAGCATGACAGTTCCTTCTTGATTTACTTCCTAGACACAACTATGGGTGGATGCAAACACTTGTAAGAATTAATTTAACACTTCAAATTGTTGTTTCCTGTGTCAGACACATACCGTAGCCCCGTCACATTCCGTTTATTACAGATCCATTACAGATCATTTTCACATATCACAGCAGGGCAGACACAGCTGCAAGTAACACACTTAACGATGGGTAGGTGTGTCAGCTGGCAAGCATTGACAGTAGCAGTAAATATTGTCGATGCTTGATAATTAGCACACCTAATACCAAACCAAGCCATTAATCATTTTCATAGCTGCAGCTTACAAGTGAGGAAGGAAAAGAAGGGCTAGTCACCTTGTTCCTCCCTTCAATCTCAACATTATCTGAAATCCTAATAAACAGGCCCCTTGCTTAAGGCCTGAGAGAGGTTCACCCCTATAAGGCTCTGGGGGCTTCGGATCCGTCACAATGTACACAAAAAAAACAAAAATAATATTAGAAACATGGCAGTAATGGCACAGAGATGATGTGCATACTAATAGTTACAAAAGACAACAATATGCCTGACCCTGCTGACCCGTTCTGGAGCTCCATCGTGGCCTTTTGTCTTCCAATAAAGTAGAATGAAATAAGATAAATTAGCATGATGTCCTTATCAGGGTTAGTTCATTTTTACCTTGGAAAGAGCAAATGGCAATGACATGATAAGATGTTCGAGTTATTATAGTCATTAAAGTTTATTTAGCATTTTAAATAGTATTTGGACAGCTGCAACCACAATAGATCTAACTGCACAGTGAAATCTCCAGTCTGTCTGCCAGCAAGAGAGATTGTTCCCAACCTGGAAACCAAAAATTGTTTAGTATTAACAAGTCACTTACCCAAAACATATATAAAAAAAATATGAATTGATCTTTTAAATAAAGCCATTAGTTATAACCTATAAATCCTTTATAACGTGGTGCCACTGTGTTTTGTCACTTCAGAGACATGTAACACGCGCAGGTCACACAGTAGCATCTCATCTTGAGGTGGTTCTGAGTGACGACCTCTTGCCCTGCAGTGATTGGAGGAATATCGCTACTCTTCCTCCTCTGATTGGTCCGCAGGATCGCCCCTCGTTCTGGATCCTCCATCCAATCACAGCATCGCAAAGTTCCTGCTGCGGAAGAGGGATGAGAAGGAGATGGCTGAACTTAGATAGCCCTGTGTTTGGGAACATCTTCACCATGGACCTTCTCCGGAGGAACGAGGGATGTGGAGCGCGACTGCTCGTCCTCGCGGTCGTGTTCGGCTGGTGTTTCGGGGCCGCGAACTGTTTCGGACAGAACCTGGACAGCGAGTTCACGTTCCTGCTGCCACCCGGAAGATCCGAGTGTTTCTTCCAAACAGCAATGAGGAATGGTACGATGGAGGTCGAATATCAGGTAACTGTGTGTGTGGTCAGCAGACATAATCACTCAGCATGTTCACGGTCACGTGCCAACTGCCAAAGGCTTACAACAGCGACACAGGAACACGGTGTGGAAGGCTAACTGTGACTAACCTGTAACGGTACTCCTTTAGCTAGCTGACATGCTGGAAGTGTGTCTGCACACTCTCACGAGCCAGCTTTAAAGTGGAGCTGTTGGCTAATGGCAGCTCTTATGTCTCCATTATCTTCATATTGTGGGAGTTAAATTGAACAATCTAACAACATGACTCACATTTTCCAGAAACAAGGGGGGGGGGGGGGGGGGGGGAAAAAAAAACATTTCCCCACGCAATTTTTTGAAAGGAAGAAAAAAAAAAAAACA